TGGATGGATGGATGGATGGATGGATGGATGGATGGATGGATGGATGGTATTCATACCGACAAATATGTGTTTTCTCTGGGTTTCTGTAGCAGTCATCATCTAATACCTTAGAAAGTGAGACTCAATCTATTGCAGAGTTAGATGATTTCTGTTAATTAAATTTGAGCCAATGATCTATGCATCCACATTCTTAACTTACTTAATCCAATTCATGGTCACAGGATTGTCCAGCTGATGAGAGATTGGATACACCCTGACACCCTGAACAGGATGCCAGTCCATCACAGGGTTCAAATATGGAAATGTAAACCATGTGAAAAGTTCATATCTGGCTGAATTATAATACTTTAGGCTGTTTTTTTTGTTGTTGTTTTTTTCTTAATGTTTAAATATATATACATGTTTATAAAAATATTTATATAAATTATATTGTAGAGGAAAAATTCCGATCATCATAGATATAATTGTTTAAATATAATTTGTGTACTCTCACAGCACTACTTACTGTTCACTTTCTTACACAGATACATGAGCAAATTGTTCAAATAGGATTTTATAGTACCCTTGAACTGCGCACTATTTACTGTTCAGAAACAGAGATACATGAGTGGCCTAGTTTTAAACAGGACATCTTATTAGGCCATGTTGACTAGATTCTTGTGCCAATAAATAGCGATGCAAATTTCTGTACAATCATGTTAACACAGCTTTTTGCTGAAGGTGCCATGTAAAGACATGCTGTCATATGTTATGGCTTCGTCTCATCTTGATTTCTCTTTTATCTGATCAATACTCGTAGTTATCTTCAGTTTCCCGTTTCGGTTCTCAGCTCCATTGCATGCCAGTTTCCACTATATCAGGCAAAGCTGCTGTCGCTTCCTGGTTCTTGCCTCCTGAATGTACGGTAACTACTTTTTGCTCAGCTCAATGTTTTTTGGCTATCTACCATTACTATCTTAGTTTGATAGTTTTTGTTTTTGTTTTGCAATCTGGCTGTTTTAGTAGTTACTTATGGCTGTTAAATATCCTGGTTAATTTATTTACTTTTTGGCTCTGCAGCATTTTTTCTATGATAAAATTAAGCTTATCTTAAGTCTGCATCTGCCTCCAGTCGTCCTTTTCCCATTTAGGTCCCTGTCTCTCTACCATCACCAAACTGAGGCATCAGAAATCTTACAAAAAGGTTCACACATTTTTTTAAAGACATTTTTGTGTACAGACTTTAAATCAAAATTTATTGGAGTTGTACTGGAACCGTGGTAGTTTGGAAAGGAACTGGACTATCATTTGTGATTGGTGTGACCTCAGGCAAGCAATGTCTATGACTGGAACAATCACTTGGGGTAATCTTAGGGCCCTTATCCGTCCATTTATTTTGTTATTGCTTCACCAAGATTAATGTTTGACCTTTCTTCTTATCAAAAAATTATGCACAATATTTTCCGAAAAAAGTCAACATGAAATATAAGTTGGATATTGACAGGTAGAAAGGTCATAGTTTGATCACAGACTTTCTTTACTAAGAGACCAGAAGGTAGACTTTTTTTCCAGTGAAACCAGTACAAACAAGAATTATATTTAAAGTTTAAAAATAATCTAACTGTGAAATTAGAAGCGTGGGATCAGCAACAGCAGTTTCTAAATTTGCACTATTAAATACAAGCTGAGTAGTGTGATGCATTTATGCTTCCTAACCTTGTAGCACTTGTGGCAGCATTCAATCAGCTTGCATTCTTTTTAAAGTTGAAAATACCCAGTCTGTTACCGGCATGGTAAAATAAAACCCCAGGCAGCATCGAGGTCATGGAGAAAGCATTGGTGCTGCTGACGCATTAAAGAGTAGTCTTCAACTACTGATTGACTCCCTTTCCCTGCCTATTAGTTTGATGCTAGCCTGAGACTTGACGAGTAATGTAGCCGAGAACAGTGTGGGACCTGTGTTAGGTTTGAGGTAAAAGAGGAAAGAAGAAGCTCAAATAAGGTGGCTGCGCAGTCATTAAAGGACCTGTAGACAGTCAGGCTCTGGTGTGCATAGATGGTTTATCATTACATGGATCTGGTGGATCAATTTCTTTTTGATCAGGGAATGCAACGTACTGTCACTAATGAAAACAATATGGTGACTACAACACGGGTGGGTTCCTGGTTAGATGAGATCCTTATATTTATGGTTACAAGACCGTAACCTGAAATTCAGGATGTAAACAGTAATGACATATTCTCATCAGGAATGGCTAATAATACCAATCTGCTGGAGATACTGTAGGATAGAAAAGCACAGGTGTTTATTATATAAGTTTATTACTGAAAATACAAAACCAACCCCCATGTTGGAACCATTCACTTCCACAATAAATTAGATGGGTAGGACCTGACTGCTTTAAGGTTCTTTCTTTACAAAAACAGTATTTCAGAGTCTAGGAATTTGAGAAAAAGGCTCTTTATCACAGGGTCTAATTAAGGCAATAAAAGTTAATTACATCCAGAAAACTATTCTTGTTTGGCAGATGCTACCTTGACTTAGTCCATCCGCACTTTCTCCTTTGGGATGATGTTGGCAGGATGTGCACAATCGTATTGACACCAATTTCTATTTACTCTTTCGTAAAAACAATCATCCACAGATTAAAGATTAAAAAAGAATTGTTTTAATTTCAAAACATGCAATTTTGAAAGACAGAAAAACTTAGCATTGAGGACAATTTGGGAAGAAAAAAACCCATCACTTTTAAAAATAGTATGACAATATACAGAGATAAAAAAAACAGTTTGGTGATACATCAAAAGCTATAGACAAACATAACAATTCAGTATCGATTTGTAAAACTGCTAAATCAAGATCCCAAAAAGCAATGTACGTAGAAAAGATACTATGAATGATACCCCCACACTGATGGTGAAGCAGAACTAAGATGGAGTCTCACACAGTCAGTTTCCTGTTTTGGCCATTTAGTTCTGCTAAAGACGTTTATATTGACTGAAACCAGAATGTAGATATGGAGAGAATAAGCTAATTGACTGGAAAGGAAGAAAATGGTCAACTAAATTAAGGCTGGAACCAAAACAAATAATGGGAATACTCTTTACAATGTTGCTGTATGTGAAAGTAAAAGACCAGTCCAATTAGAAAAGGTTGATTGGGTAGGGGGAAAAAGAGAAAATAAACCTTTTTCTTACTAGTCATTTCTCCAGGAATAATGGGGATGGCAGTTGCTCAGTGGTAAGAACAGTTGCCTGCTAGTGACTGGGTCATTGTTTTTGAAGCCAGATTACATGTCAAGGTGTCTTTGGTCAAGACATTGAATCCCTACTCAACAGGGAGGTGTTGTCCATGGATATGTTATGCCAGATCTGACTAATCTTTTCCAGACTGGAGAAGATCATAAGGAGCTGTTAAGGATGTGATTTATACAGACAACATAAAAGTAACAGCAACAACACACTCAATTCTAGCCAAAAACACAAGGCTGTCATGTGGAAAATACGATCACATCCTATGAGACTATACCTGAAGGAGTTCAGATTTTGCACGGCAAAAATTACAAGCAGAGTCAAGAAAGCATTTAGTAAGGAAAAGAAGTATGGTACAGTTCCCCCCAAAAAACTGTACCGTCAGGCTCAGACTGAAAGAACAAGGTTAGGACAGAGTTATTGCCATGTCTCCCCACCTCATGACAAGAGGAGAATTGTTGTCCAAGACTCCAGCTGCTGTAAGATTATCTGTTAATGTGATGGGTTCACATGTCCAATCCTAAACCTCTTGGACTGCCAAGAAACTGATTAGGGCCACCCTGATAATATCAAACACATTTAATATTCAAGAGCTAAGTCTGTGCATGTGACATGACTGATAACCTCTGAGCATGTACAATTGTCCGACTGTTAGCTTTCTCCTGAGGACACAGTGCACTGTGTTCTCTCTTTATAATACGATGGACTTTTAAACAAGATGTTTAAAATGTAACTTATCATCTGCATTTTACTTCTTGCTATATACCCAGAAAGTTTGCTTATGCTTGTAAGGAAGATGGAAAGGCAAACAGAAACGTTTCTCTGGCAACCCTCGTTCAGAGTTATGATTTAGACACATTCCATCCGTTGTCCTTTTGATTTGCTTTCATCCAATTGCTGAATGTGAGGGTTTCATGTTGAAACTACATTATCAAAACAAAGATTTTATAAATCCTTTAGTTTAAATGTTTCTGAATTTATGGAGAGACTACAAAAAGGTATCCAATTTGCAATAATGCACCCTTATCAAGTAACTGCAAAGTATATTTTACTGTGCACTGTATGCGATTACTGGTTATTATCTTTAAACATCATGAAATATTTAGCTCGTAGAAAAGATAATCTAGTTTTTGTTTTGCGTGTTTGCATGACAAAAACTAAAGAAGAAATAACACAAAAGAAAATGCTAATGCTAAATGATATATTGCACTGAGCTGTAAAAGAGTAGCCTTGATGTGACATCATGAGAAGGAGAATAAAACATTATGACGAACTATTATGGTTGAAAACAGATAAAAAAATAATAAAATGTACTAAAAGTTGATCTGAAACATGTGTTGAAAAAAATGACTGTCAGAGGCTTACAGATACTTTAGATCTTTTTTAATCCTTTTCAACTCTTTTATTCATTGCTGTAGACATCTACCTTTAGTGCACAAGACAATAAAACCAAGTCTATGGTCCATTTTTAGAAATTTGCTGAAGTATTCCATGTGATAGCAATCAATTCAAAGTCCCACCAAAAGGTTTGTCATCACACATATAGAGAAACGGGGTTGGTGTATTTTGTCAAACTTGGGGAGGTGGGAGGTCTTTAAAAGTGTTCTCTGACAGCTGAAACAGTTAGTCTCAGTCTGAACTCACTCAAGGGAGGAGGAGCACATCAAGCAATGCTTTGAAGAACAGCGCCGCATGACAAAGTGTCAGATTTACTTAACAACGAATTCCTTTCTGTGGAGTGGAAGTGGATATACGAAAAGGATCTTTTTGCTTCAATGTGTGTGATAGAGGAGTCTGGTGTTTTCCTAAGTCAAACACGTACCAGATGACCATCTTTGTGTCAACCCTGAGTCAGAGCAAAGTTAAGGTAGGTGAGATCTTTTTCGCGATCAGAAGAATTGAAAAGATAAAGTCCTGCAGAAGTGATCTGCAAGTGATGTTTGCTTGATGCTGCATATGCAGTTTACTGACCTAAATAGAAAGAATAAAGAAAGCATGAAGAAAACAGATCATGTGATAGGTAATAATTGCATTATGTGTTCCGGCATTTACCACATACCAGTTACATCAATAGTTTTATTAGATTACATAAACTTAATTATATGTGATCATCAGTAATAATTGAACATATTGGTTTGTCGTTTTCATGCCGCATCTTGTTCCTTGGGAATGACTTTTCTCACAGCTCAGTTTCAAATAACACAATTCTAAATCGTTCAAATTTCAGTGGCATAAAATTATAATATTTTATTGGATTACATGTGGTTTGCAAATTAAATTTTCAAAAACAGGTAAAGTGTATATCCTATAGTTAAATGAGTAACAGATAATAAAAACTGAAGAAAATAGTTTAGTCAATAAATCTCCATATATTGACCCATACAAGCCAGAATTAAATAGAAAATAACTTGGTCATGTCTTCTATTAGTTTAGTGTTTTAATTGACTGTCCTTACTGTGACCTGTTTAAGCTTCATAAAACTCAATAAAACAAATGTAACATGTGCGCAAGGGCGATTATTCCCCTCCCCCCAAAAAATCTATTAAAAAAAAGCCTTCAAGTGCTTTTGTCGTAGAATAAAGAACACATGCTTGTCACTGTTTTAACACCCTGGGTATGTCTGGACCCCATTTTACCTTTATATTTGCCAAAAGGTGTCTGGTAGGCGCCATGAGCTGAAAGAAGAGATTGCTCATTGCTCTATTTGTGGAGGTTGCCATAACAGAGGGCACTATTTGACCATTAACACTTATCTAGAATCGCTCAAAAATTCCCATTCAAGTTCATATTCAAATATCAATCACTGGCGATAAAGGAGCTAAACAACAAACCTTTTGTCCAAACTTGACTCAAAAGAATATCCTAGTCGAGTTTATTTCACACTTTCAGTGCAAGCACAATTTTCTCATTACTGCCACTGAGTGGCTTTTCTTATCTGTTATTAGGTTTGGATTTTGGGGGGGGAAATCAAAATTAGTTTACACTGACTGTTCAGTTGTTGTGGCAAAACTATATTTAAATTACATTCCATTGAAAGTCAGTTCAAAACTTTTTCCCATCTTTTTTGTTCGTGAACATGAGATGCTTTATCGTTTGAAGATAAGCTCTCTGAAACTGGATGGGGACACTGATTTGCAGAGGCTCTGTTTTGAGGAAGCATTCCTCACAGCCTCTATGGGCCGTTTTTCTTTTCTTTTTATTCTAGCCAGTTTTTTGGGGGGGTTGTTTTTTTGCTCTTGATTTTATCATTAGACATATGTAATCTACTGAACTTGACTATGGTTTTTACTCGTGTCAGTTGCAGGTAAAGTGTCTGTTTGTGTTTATGTTCCTGAGCTTCCCCTTGACCATGGCTGTGATCCCTGGTCCATGCAGACACTCAATCACAAGGGAGCACCTGCTGACTGTCAGGCAATTGGTGAGGTTTAAAACACCTGAAACTGATAAAATTGTATCCCCTGTGCTAAAATTTTATGGTTTCACAGATGGACAATCAGTTGAGAAGCGGATGCTCAATAACCTACACATTTGTAGAGCAGAGAAGTTTGGTAGGGGCAAATTTTAAAAATTCAAACACTTCCTGCAACCAACCCTTCCATCAAATTGCTTTTCCTGCCGCTTACCTTTTGCTTTTCTTTAGAGCAAATGTTGCTTTGTGAAAGCTGCTTTACCTTGGATCCTGGAACTGCTTACCACCCACTTCAAGTATAACCGGGGTTCAGTGAATGATGGCTATGTGCAGTCTTTGAGAGCACTCATCCTCAATATTTATTCACAGAAATGTGTGCCTCAGATTAATGAAGAGGTCGAGGTGAGTGTGAATGTTTAATCTAAACAATGTATGTCAGTGGGAAACTTAATCTAGCTTTTTTTTTTAAAAAACCTTAAACATTTTTCTCAATCTACCGCAGAATAAGCCTGAGAGTTTTGAGATGCTCTACAGGGGGTCCCCTTCAGAAGCACTTCAAAAAGCATCAGAAGTGTTGTTTGTTTATTGGGAACTAGTCACTACCAGTGATACACCGGTGGACTGGAAATGCCAGCATGAATACTTAGAAGCCTTTGGCTCAACCACAGAGTTACCCACAGAGTCAACCACAGAATATTTTACAGGTGGGAAACTCAATCTTTTGGAATGTTCTGTGATGAGTAATGCAGATGTCCCAGACTGCTGTGATCACAAATCATGTTTTCCTTTCCTCAGATAGTTATGGTAGGGACTCTGTAAAGGCCTATCAGAGAAAACCGATCAGAGACCTATACAAGCTTGGCTTCATCATTGCATCCATCTGCGGAGGACTTCTGGTCATACTAACACTCTACTGTGTCGTCATATACAAGGTACGGTACTTGCTAATGTACATCTTGTAAACCTCTAATTTCGTGTGCGCTTCAATAAAGTTTGGCAGTGGATAAAAGTCATATTGTTAAAAAAAAGCAGGAATTGGCAGCCTCGTTCTGCTTTCTTGGACTCTCCTTGCACCATCCACTCCTTCCCTGATAGTAACAAAACAAGGTGAAATCTAAGCTTACAGACATTGGCAGAAGCCTTTGTTTGTAGCAGCCCATGCACAACATCTGCGAATGCATATGGGCATTTATAGTCCTATTAGTTTTTCTTTTAACTGTTTGGCTCCTGTTATACTTTAATTTATTACATTCAGAATTAGAGTTCAGCTTTTAGATTTCATTTGACCTCTCTGTTGTTGGCTGGGTTTATTTACTTAAATATGTTCCTCCTCTGCTTCATCTGTGAGGAAAACTGATCACACGGGTTTCCATTTCCTGCATGCAAGAAGAACACTTAAACTAACTGAACGTGATGTATTCACTGGATGATTGTAGTATAAGGTTTTCTGGGCTTGTGATTGATGCCAAACTAACCCTGTGGAAATCCCTGTGAGGAAATGTATGCTTGAGAACACTGTGACCACAGTGACAACATTAATTCACAGAGTCTTATGTGGTAGCCCATTTACAAGCCTACTATGCTAAACCACGTGACATAAAGAGGGTGGAGACAGGAGAATCACTTTCAGTTGTGCTTTCATCCTGATGACATCTTTTAAAGCTGCTTAGCCTGGACACCTCGTCACAGAAATAGGGCTTTTGTGTTCAAATTCAACACATCAGGTAAATCTGATGTTAAATGTGATTTCTATGTCAGTGTCCAAAACACAAGCATATTGTTACAAAGTAGTCTAATCAAAGAGGATGTTTTCTTCAAAAGTACACTGATGCCTAAAAAGCATACCATTTTATTTCTAAACTTTTAAACCTCCAGGCCCCTCACAGAACCACACAACCTGACTCTCAGCTAAGCTTACATATGTCTCATTGAAGCAACCAGCTCTGACAATAAGGAAGAATGCAATGGGCTGGTTAAAAGTAAGAAAGTTCCTTGGAAGATAGATGGTTTTTATTGCTGTTTTTTTTTTTTTTACATAGATCAGCCAGGATCTATGCAGTGTTGCTACTGTGATAAGTAATTACTTTGGCAAACATGCCCAACAAAACATCCAGGCTTCAACTGAAAAGAGAAAAGTTATGATGATGAACTGGGGATATGGGAATGAAGGGAATAGATATTCTTGCCAGAATGGTGTACACTTTTAGTATACTACTGTAACCACAAAAGAACACAGCATCCCAGCCCAAAGCAAACACTCAAAAGACCTAAGGGAAACCTTATTTTCAGCTCTTGAAGTGGTTGTGGGTCTGCCTTTTGTATTCTTCTGTTCATGAGAAGATTTTTATCCAAAGCATGCAGTTTATTCAATGAAATAATTCCAGACTGCATGGCAGCCACTCATAAGCACACGCAAGCATGAATGGCAAGGCACGTCACCAGCAACACTGAACTGAGATGCCTGGGTTATGACTCTCACATGGAGCAAGGGTGGCTTCTTCCTCTGATTATTGGCCTCTGCACTGGTGTGTCCAGAAAAGGAAACAGAGGATCTAAAAAATTCAGATCCTATGGGACATTGTGCTATCACTTAGAATTTACACAAAGTTTCACAGACAACCAGTGCACACAGAAAAAAGTTGTTAACCTATTCATAGCTTGAATTGCTCTGCAGCTACATGGCTTTGTTTAAGTGGCTGTGTGAGGCTCATGTGAGAATCCCCCAGTGCACTGACTTTGATGTTTCTCCATCAATTGAATGTTGCAATTGGCTACAGAATTTGTTGTTTTTATGATAGACAACATTGCACACTAACGTGTATTAGTCTTGAGGTTTTTGGACGCCAAAATCCACTGAAAAAAGGGTAGTTGATTCATTCAAATGAGTAAGGGGGATGAAGACACTCTTTTCATGTCATGATTTGATTGTTTTTTTGGCTGAGTCTTAGGTACAAGTACGCAGAACAAGAAAGCATGTGGAACTAACTCTTCTTCCAGGAAGTTTTGTCTCCTTTCTTCTTCCACTGATTACATGCATAGACATGACACACCATTGAAAGAGTAAGGGCTTTACACATAACTGTGAGAGACTCTATTATGTTGTTTTCAGCAATTTTCTATATTTGTTTCATGCAAAATTGGGTCCATCTTCTTCAGTTAGAAATAACTGAATATTTCTTCGTCATTTCACTGGACTCATGTTGTGTATGTTTATTTTCTGACAGTATGTATTTTTCTGATGACTTCAGAATGATATTTGCACAGCAAAATGGAAAATGTGAAAATGCTCAAAAGGAATCCCTTTTAACAAGACCATTTTATATAGCTTATATCTATGGACTGAATATTGCTTTCACCACACTGTTTTAAGTAAGTTATGTTGGTTGATTTGGATGGCCTCCTCGTGAGAATATAATGTCCCTTTAATAGATGGGGATTATGAATGTGTAATATCTTTCTTAGCATGCACAAACACTGAGCACCTAGAGTCACATTAAGTTCTAAACTTCAGACTTTTATCAAAATCAGTTGTTTGTAAGTTGTGAAACGGTTGTTGGATGCTATCTTGGACAGAAGAGTTCAATAAGTTGTCAGAGGATGTAGACATCACTGCAGAAAAAAAACAATGCCCATAAACATCCTGTGAAGGAAAATTGCAGTCAGTGTGATTGTGCTAGGAAGTCTGAATCAGCTAAAATAACTGACGGTAGCTTTGGAATTTTTGGAATAACTTTGTGTGTCCATGATTGTACCGTTGTTAAACCCTATGGAAATGTTGACAGTGTTTGTGTCATGTGATTGGGATTTACTTATGAGTTAAGCATTATTTTTTACCTTCATAATGAAGTAACAATCACAACATGAGGCAAACATGTTATTGTGCTTTTCTGGCAACAAACTTTTAAAAGGCCTTTATTAACCATCACTACCACAAGTTTTTCCCCACTATGGCTCCATATCCACTGGAAGTATGTTTGATTTTGAGAGATAGATTTACTTTGGCTGGAACTCCCTTTAAAATGATTTGTGACCCACCGTGGGTCACCACCCACCACTTGCGAACCATGATCTAGCTTTGCTTTGTCCACAGGGGCATGACAAAATAACATAAACATTACATTCCCAGATACTTTCCATGCAAAATTTGTCTGTGGACTGAGATGCTCATCCGCTGTGAATTTGATATGGCGGTAAAAGATTTAAAAAATCTGTAATTTACTCAGTTGAGGAGCGTGATGCCTGTGGTGTAGTATGGACTCAAAGCAGTGAGAATAGATTCCAGTAACGATAAAAAGAAAGATTACACAATGGAAAAAAATGTTAAATCACCTACAGACGTTTTCTGTGGCATAACATCTAACTGGCTAATCCATCTTTAAAATGCATGTTGAAATTCTCTGAAAATGTACCATATTAATCTCTTGAGCTTATTGTTTTTAGGGATTCGATTAATTTAAAATGAATGGAATTTCTTTTGATCCTGTTGCACTTTAGTTTTTCTAACGTATGTCCATAGTTTGGTTTTATCTCATGAAATGTTCTCTGTCCAAAACAGAAAACTCAAATCTATCACGGATCAAGAACACATGCAAATTCGAGGTAAGAAAATTTTCCATAACTGAACCAACAAGACAGTGGTCTTTCCATGTTTGCTTCAATTTTGCATGCTAATGCATATTTCTGTCATCTGGATTAAAGAAGAGATCCACAGGACATAGAGATGGAGCCACAGTAATGTGAGTATTCCTCTCAGCTATATCAAAGCATTGTGGATTCTGAAACATCTGGACACAGCCCAGATGGGGATGTGTTAAACACATGCCTGTCTGTGAAAAAATATGACTACGGATCACAAACATCTTAATTTCGTTGGATTTTCAGTTTCCTCTTATCTCCACAGGTAGCAAGAACAAATCACCACGTCAGAGAGAGCACATGGAAGCTGTAAATTTTATCCAATGCAAAGAAATCTCAATGTCCTCCTTTGTATGATATATCCAGCTTACCTATTTAATCTTTGCTTTGACCAAGAACAATTGTTGAATCCTACTTTGAATTATGCTGTATATATTGTGCATTTCAATGGCAGATATCTTTTCCAGCTGACTAGAAAAGTTTTATTTTTTACAGTAGACATGTTTGTTGATTATGCGTCTTTATTTGGCACTACTTAACCAACTATTTGTGATGTAATTTTTGCAAAATATTTGCATGTTATTTATTATTTTAACTCTATCCAGTCACTGTATTGATAATAAAAAAAAGTTAACTATCCAAGCCACCGTGTTTATGTACAACCCTGTACCAGAGTTTAAGAGGCCCTTTTCTGAAAGTTATTTTCAAAGATTTGCTGATTAAATTTTAACCCAAACCAGAACAAACCATTTCAATATGAGCACTAAAAATATTGTCACATACCCAGAGCTGTTAGCATGTCAGTGGAGACATGAATATGAAAGATACACATCAGTTACTTTGGCAGCTTAACAAGGGAGGTATTCACTACATAGCGCGTGACTGGGATTGGTGGGAGTAATTTCCTGCTACAATTTTCTCATGCATGCATGACATTCAATCATAATTGCATGTTAATAGCAAATAACAGACAAATATTGAAAGAAAAGGCGATATGGTCCATAATGCTGTCAAGGCTTTCACTGCTGAAAGATGGGCCCGCCTAATGTTTTATAATCATAAATTGCATAATGTCTGAGTTTGAGAGGAACTGGACAATTCCCCAAAAATTGAAACATTTGTATGTGTCCCAAAGGATCACACCAGTAAATCCTGTCAAAAAAATTCCCACATGTGATCAAGTGCATGTGTGTTGGCCTTGCTTTTGTTTTTGAAGAATTTATTTAGGAAGCAGAGGAGAAAAAAGAAAAAAAGAAAATACAGCCTTACTCCATGGCCTCCGCACAACCACGTGCAGCCTGCAACTTGGGAAAATTTGTTACTACTTATCCTCACAGGTTACCTCTTATCAGCGTACCAACCATTGTTGCAGAGGCAGTGATCCATTTTTCATCCTAAGAAACTGCTCCATTACAAAACAAGGAAAATATTTCTCTAATTCAATATACTGTCTTTCTTTAGAGGATTAGAGGCAGCTGTGGAGAGATGGATTGGGAGATGAAATAGGAAGTTGTCTTCAACAATAAATATATGTGAATTGCCTAACAGTTGCAATTGTCACAAGGGTCCCAACCCTTTTTTCTTTCCCAGCATTTTTACCTCTTTTTGTTTTCCTCTGAAAATATTCTTTCTTCTCCGTAGGAATGATGTTTCCAAGGACACTGATTTGATTGTATATATAACACAAGATAAGAGAGATAATATAAGATTGATTTTATTGACCCTTCTGCAAAATTATTGAATTATTAAAAGATATAGTGGTACTCTTTTTAGTTTCAAGTCCAGTTTCAGTCAAACTAGTTTAATTTCTGGTTGCATTACTGGTTCTTGTGTCCATTTATATATATTCTTTTTAATTTACAGGCATAATTAATACATCACATCCCCAGAAGAAAGATCTTCTAACTTGGATGCAGTATAGTAATAAACTACAATGGCACCAGCACATTCTATAAACAAGTTCATGCTTTGTAGGATCATAATGTTTACCTTTCTACCAAAGTTGAAGAGTGAACGAAACCATTATGATTTGAAATGACACACTTGCCATATCTAATAAAAACATTTTATAATGGATATAAAGAAAAGCATTTCTCCTCATAGCTCTGCTTAACATGTTATTGGAATGTTTTACCGATAGTGGACTCAAAAATTTGAAAATCAATCAAGAAGAATGTTTCCTCAGAGGTACAAACAACTCTAATCTACTAATGGAAAAGTATTTTGCGTTTGAAAAAATATCCTGTCTAGCCCAAAAAGTAATTGAGGTATTACTAGAGATTGAATTATTGATGGCGGGTGATTAACAGAAAAAATGTTTAATAACAAAGTAATAACAAAAAGCTCTGCAGAGTGAAGTTTCGCCATCTTCCACATGATGGAGGCAAAGATCCAAACTCAATGTAATAAATCTGGTTACAAGTTGTACACCAATGGTGTCCAAAGTTGGTTCTCAATTGCCACTGTCCTGCAGGTTTTAAAACTTTCCCTGCCTCAACACATCTGATTCAAATCAATAAAGCATCAGCAGGCTGGTGCAGAGCTTAACAGTCTTTTCAATAGACCCATTTAATTAGAATCAGGTGTGTTGAAGCGAGGAAACACCTCAAATCTGAGAACAGAGGCCTTGGAGGACTGGAGTTGGACACCATTGTTCTAACCAGATGGCCCTTTGTCAGACTTAATAAGCAGAACTCATCTATACTGACTTCAACTCAGTTACGTGAAACAATCTGAAACCAATACTGTGATAAGTTTATGTCTGTTGTCTAACCTTGTTTTAATCATTTTCTGTCGTTCATGTGCCTCCCATCTGGATGTGGGATTACGAAATGCCAGCAAGTCATTAACCAGTTTACTGTAATAATTATAGCAGCACTTAAAAGTGCTTTAAAAAAACACAATAGTTACCATGTTCCAGTACAGTAAGAAGAACATGGTAGATACAGGGACATAAGAGAGCACTACACATCAATAAAGGCAATATGCCGCAAACAGTAGGCAGCGTCGGCAGGAATGTCTTTGGCGCTGATCCCATTGGCATCCAAACGCAACATTTTCAGCATGGAGAAGTTTTCCATGTTAACCGTACCACAGAAGCTGCTCAGGGAAAATTCTGGAAAGGAAGCAAATTTTAAAAAGGGTTTAAATTAGCAGTAACTTCATAAGTGTTATTAGACCAAACCAACCAAAAATATCTATTGCCACAGGTTTATTGCCAAAAGACTTTCTATGTCAGTCCTTCAAGGTCAGATTTGGGTCGCACATTTCTACAACACAACCAAACCAAGTGGATCAGGGTAAACTTATTCAATCAATTGGAAATTGTTTGATTTTATTTAGTCAAGATTTATTTTCTGGAATTCTTAGGAGTGGGAAAGCATATGACTGGGCATGTGTGTTCGTGTGTTTAAAATTGTGTACTTTTTCACTTCTTTTCATCATGAAGACCAGTGTAAAAAACCCTGATCATCAGTTCTAAAACCGATAAATAGCTACAACTTCAACTTTTGAAGCCATCTAGTGTAAACCAATTTATCCTGTTGAGTCACCAATGCAAAATCAGAGAGTGGGGGTTTCACTTTCCAGATACGAATTGTACTGAGAAAACAAAGACACCTCAAAAAGTATGTGGAAACCATCACATGATTTTACTTTGGTTTGTCAGCACATTAAGACCCGATGTGGCCTTTTGTGGCACTCTGGTTCATGGAAAGTAATGTAAAGGGAAATTAGAAAATCATTCTCTTTAACCAACTGTTCACAGTATCTATTTTTTAACATTGTTTTACTGTAATTGAATAAACTGATACATAACCAGGGTCAAAAGTGTATCCATCTATGTTCTGTTCCAGTTTAATCCAATTCATGGTTTCACAGGTTTCATTTCATCCCAGTTTTAATTTTCTTTTAAAGCGGGACAGACAACAGGTTGCCATTCTATCACAAACAAGAACAAACAGGGATGCACACTCAAACTTACCTTGAGGGCAAATTCAGATTCCCCAATTAACCAAACCTACATGTTTTGGGGCACCAAATAGGAGAGAAATCCTAATGTACCGACTAAAATATTTTCCATCTACTTCTGTTTCTATGACTTTAGCGATCAGCATCAACATGTCCAACTCCCAGTTTATTCTTAGCTTCTCACTCAGAAATCACATGCTAAAGTTGAATTAACTTACAGTATATATGAATATGTAAATATATAAACATATAAACATATATATATATATATATATATATATATAAAAGCAGACAAAAAAACATTGGAAATTGTATGACCCAATTTATAGAGAAGTCTTCATACCTTTGATCTTATTGGCTTGTAAGTACAGGTTCTCAAGGTTCCTACTGACAACTGGGATCCTCTCCAGTTTATTAAATGACAGGTCAAGCTCAATGAGAGTGCTGATATTGAAGACATTCGATGGAAGTCCTTTATCAGTCAGCATGTTATGAGCCAACCGGACAAACTGCAAGTTGGGACACAAGGTGAAAAATCCTTCCGGCACACTCTCTATGCTATTAAATTCCAAGTAGAGCTGCTGCAGGCTTTCAGGAAGACTGTCAGGAATTTTCTTAACCTTGTTTTTCCGCATATCCAGCATGGTCAGGGATTTTAGTTCTTTAAATGCATCTATTGTATCCTCTATGGCATTGGCTTGGAGCTGAAGAATAGTTAGATTGCTCATTCCCTTAAGTGTGTTGGGGAGAATTTTGGAGATCTTGTTGTGGCTAAGTTGCAGCTTTGTGATGGACCTCGGCAAGTTTTGAGGCACACGGCTGAGTTCATTATGATCCAGGTAGAGCTGATTCAAGTTTTTTAGCTTACCAAAGACATTGTTGCTGACATTGTTTGAGTTGAGCTGGTTATAAGAAAAAACTATCCAGACAAGGCTGGTAGCATTGTCAAACACACCATCCTTGATGCCCGTGATCTGGTTATGCTGCAGGTAGGCATACTTTATATGTGATGGCACATAGGGAACATGCTGAAGATTGCGGCCGTGACAGTACATAGCTGTGGGGTAGGCCAAGGGGCAGTCACACTCCAGAGGGCAATCCATGCTGTCGACCTGCCGGCGGGAGTTCAGCCATCTCCCCCTTAGATGGGACAGCCAACGGAACGAACTGTGCTGCTGGCTGATGCTCACATCCACTATTCCAATTATGAGGAGAACCACCACAGTTGACATGTTTGCTGAAGGAAAACAAAAGGTAAAATAATCGGCCAATGTATGTCATTTCAAAGCAACAGAGAAAAAAATCTTTCTTTATTACAAAAGCACAACCTTTGATTAAAACTATAGACAGGACTTGAAACTCGGGATTGTGCTAATGTAGTATTTTAAGACACTTCCCACTTCATCTCTTCAATGTAAAGAAGGTACAGAACACCTACCAGTTGGCTGGTCCAAGATGATGTCTCCTCTCGAGCTGACCTCTGCCGTGTCTCTCTCCCTGACTGACTGAAAAATGCAGCTAGCATAATGTAAATAACCCAACCACCCCTCTTTTTAGCAGTTGTTCCAACCACCCTGTATAATTAGTGCACAAAACATACATATTTCCACTTGTAAGTTACAAACATTACAGCATTTTACCTCTGGCTATGTCAAAATCAATCCCATCTGTGAACTGTTGAGGACATCTGCTTTTTAACAACCTTGTTTTCCATCACTTTGTCAAGCCTTTTCATTAACACAGTCACTAGACGTCTGGCTTGCCTTTTACAGTTATGCTATGGCTGTTATAGAGAGTTTATGGGTTATTGCTGTCGAAAGTTTTACCACATGAGATATTGTAATTAATACTGTTATTTCTCAGATCAAAACATTACACGTATTACAAGAATTTCAAATCTTATCCTTATGACTTTGATTAAACATATATAGTGTGTGTCAGTAAAGTATGCCAAACCCTGTCATTTGTCCACCATCATTGTACTTCAACATGTTTCTTTCCTTTATTTGCCTCAAGTGTTCATTTTTTCAATTACAGTATTCAAGTTGTAGGGAAAGTAAACACATGGTTTCGCTGGCGCCGACATACAGAGAAGCACCATTAGTAGGGCCCTAGATACTCTCTGCTGGGGCAGGAAAAGGGGATGCATAGATTAAAGGACTGTTTCTTCATCCTCAATCTGGTTTCCAGGACCCACTGAGGAAATGTTGTTTAAAATTGTCTTTGGAAATGGTCTTCAGGAAGTAAAAGACCTTAGTAATCTAAAAATCAGGTCCCATCTGATAAAAGGGAACCTTACCTGACGATATACAGAGGGGATAACCTTTAGCAAAAGACCTGGAAGCTTGTGGTAAGAGAACACAACAACGATCAACTGGTAGTCTCAATAAGAATTTAATTTAAAAAACAAAGCTAAGCACATTTTTAGCTTGACATAATAAGATGTCTATTCAAAAAACTCACCACCTAGACTCACAGTGATTTATATGTCTCTCACAACTATGTAGCCCAAAGTGATGCAGCAAAAACATGTCAAGACAAATAGGCAGTCATGGAAAAATGTTTCTCTGTTTCAGAAAATAGAACACTTATCATTCTTTATCAGTCAAACAAAACAGCTTCGCAGAGAGGAGAAACTACAAAAACTAAATGGGGAACCATCTTATATATCTTATATATATGTATATATATACAATTAATGTTATTTTGTTATTTTGTCACCCGATACTTTTTCTCATCGCTTCTAACATTTGGTGTTAGAAACAAAAGTTGTGGTTTCTGGTAGTGGTCATTCAATAGAGCCATAAATTATACTTGCAAACTTTCTCACCAACACCCTTTGGGCAAAAGGTCCATCTAAATAGTTTTCAACATCGAAAGTGGAGCTGGAGTTGAAAATATCTGTAAAACAATCTGAGTCAACAGCAAGTTTGCTACAAAAACTCACTGAGACTGCCAAAGTTGTGAGACCTGTCTTAATAAAATAGATAAGCATCTGTAGGCCACAAATTACAAACAACCCACTCCAGCTTGTCCATTAAGACCAGAATTTACCAGAATGCACCGTTTCAATAGCACTTTTACTTCCGAAAACTCGATTTAGGAACTTGCAACAAACCCGTGTGAGTAGTTTGTTTTTCATCCTCATACTTTTGAAATATTTCCATTATGATTCTGAGTTCGTGCTAATTCAGTTTGGATCATGTTTTATGTTTTATTTAGTAACCCCTTGTGATCCTTGGTGCGGCACCAAAGATCACACAGTTGAATAGATGGCGTGCCAAGCAATGTTTTACTGGTGTCATGCAACCTGTCTGAAATCCTTCTCTATCACAAGTTGTTTTTCGTACCAAATGATTGGAAACACTGAGATTCCTATTTGACCCTATAATGCCATATGCATCATATTTGATACAAATGGTCTCTGAAATGTTTTGCTCTAAATGATCACATATACCTTATAACAGCTGGCAGAAGTCTACATAATAAAATACAATAATTAAAAATAATGTTGACTTATACCACAGTAATAAATAATAAATACTCAAAAATCATTTCTGTTTATATTTTTTATATTTTGTTAAAGGCCAAATAAAGCCTTATAATAAAAATAAATTCTTCCTACTTCTTCTTGGATCAGTCTTTAAAGGGTTAAATACACTTTACAAGGCAGCAAGTTTTCATAACTTGAAAGGGAGTTTTTAGGATTGGTGATGTTGAAAAAAAGAGGACCTAAATTCAGGGCATGGGACTGGAGGTGGGTAAAAGGTTTATCTGGAGATTTATTGGATACACAACAGAAACCGAAGATGTGGTAGAGCTGGACAACCACATGATGGTGGAATCAAAACCTAATTTTTAAAAAACATGTCAAAACAGGATAGTAAGGAACTGAACAACAGATAAGTAGCAAGATAATTTAAAAGACAAGGATCTGACAGTTATTTCTAAACAATTAAGGAGCATATAGCTGAAACTAATTTAAAACGGGTGAATGTGGAAAAAACTACACTGTTATTAGAGGTTTGCTTCATTCTTGATGGTTATATTGAAATCAGCCATTAACAATAATAACTTGCTAAGTAAAAAGAACAAAAAGAAAAATATGCAACCAATTTTCTCACAGCTGCATGATTTTCTGTCATCATTAGGAGACTGTGCTGTATGAAATCATTTCGTTTGGGTTATGTCAACATAATTTGTATGGGTGAATTAAATCAATTCACTGTGGCTGACCCAAAAACAACAGTTCTGATTTTATGGTTATTATACCCGTCTTTTGCTTATGGATCTGCTTTCATTTATCTAAATGACCAACATAAGCAACATCAATAAAATCTTTGTTCATGTATCAAGTTTTCTTTTGAGTTAAAATGGTGATGAGCCAGTCACTTTTACTTTATGTGGACACAATACAATCTATTTGATCGTAAAAGAAAACCGTGTGGAGATTTGTTCCACATTTTCACATTCATTCAACAAGACTTTTTCTTTTCACATTTTTCCTTTTTTAGTAGTTGAAAAGTACTTGAGAACACTAAAATTTTCAAGCATGCGCCTCAAACATAATGAAGAATCAGTTTGATATATTGACAAGTAAAATGAACACTTCCATGTATTATGCGAAGAGTAATAACTACATGAGCCCATCCCCACAGAAAAAAATCAAATTATTTGCACATATGTAAGCAATTTTTCTTATTTCTTTTTTCTTTTTTTGGCATTTGGGGAATGACTGGAATTGAAACATTGCTTTTGTTGCTAAGAGGCTACAGTGCTAACTTCTAAGCCACTTTGCAGCCCCTGCAGTTGCCATGGAAACGTCCAATCACTGGAAACCTACTTTATTATTACAACATGTGTGTCTTTGGCTGTGCTGTAATCAGCTACACATGCCGCTTTGAAGTTGTGTTTATGAAAACAGTGGGAGCTCAGAACATGCTTGCTGCAACTGAAGGTGTATTTCCACCAGAGAGCCTGAGAATTATTACAGGGGAGACATTTCCAGAGCAGCTTGCGTAATTTGTTTACCTCTCTTTGTGAACGCAGGATTCCATCTGTATAAACAAAAATACTTTACTTAAATTCATACAGGATCATACCTGTAACACCAGTAACCTTTTTTGACTTTCTTTATCAGATGGAAAACAGATTCTCTTAAGTTAAATGCGGATGGTATTTACCTTTCCTTTCGTGTGGTAGTTGTGAATAGTATATTTTTCTTTATAATACTTCTAACATGGTGATGTGGTGGTTAGCACCATCGCCTCACAGCAAGAGGATTCCTAGTTTCCCAAAAATTCTTCACACATCTGTTAACTGTCACTGCAAAACTCAGCTCAATAAATTCTGAGAACAGCTTAAACTCCACTTTTTGAAAATGGATTTTAATGTCTAAACAAACATGTTTGTTGAAATGTCATCCTTTGTACTGTGAACATTCTGTAGTTTTTATAAAAACTCCCCAAGACATGTTTAGTGAAATATAATCAAAATACAAATGAGTTTTATGTGATTTTCTAAACTGTTTATTTTGTGTTTGCTAAGTTCGCAACCATGATATACAAAGAAAAATACAGATAAATATAAAAGCACACAATATTATGACATATCAGCTTGAAATGTTGTCAGAAAAAGACCTCCTATTCATAATGTGTTATCATATACTATAGAATATCATTATGTTTTAATTAATCAAAAATTGCCTTAACGTAGACCAGTTACTGCAATCTTTCTTTGCCAAAGGCTAAAAACAATGAAACTTTGAAAAACTCTGGGTTCACAGTACATCTTTTTAACTCTGCAACTGTGATTGTATAGGCATACAAATAATATGAAAAGAGCACAATTTAATTGTTAAACAGTCTATCACATACAAATGAAAAACCTTTATATTTTAATTGGACTGAAAAGTTAAATTAAGCTTCAGTTTCCAAAGAAAGAAAGATTGGCTGAAGCATTGAGATCGACCTACATAGTATGTCTTCAAAAAGTTAAATAAATGATCAAATGAATGAATGAATTGAAAGAAATATGGACATTGGTAAGCGTTCTAAGAAATACAAAAAAATATAGCGAACGGGTACTCGAATTGGTTTCTCCGTGTAAAATGAGGATGGGGAGTGATGTTTCGGGTACCTTGCGGAACGAAAGTTTGACTCACTGCAGCACTGTTTCCCCAACGGAAATAAATATGTGCTGGACCGTGGTGTTCGATGAGCAACGCTCGATTGCGGCAAATCAATGGTGTAGTTTTTTAAAGATGTTTGTGCCGGCCATATAAATAGCTGTAGTTATAATGTCCTGATATATCGACCAACAAATACTTGTTTAAAGCAGACGTTCTGATCAAGTCGTGGTAACCTTTGTTTTCACGCTATCAGAAGATGTTTGCCAAACCGTTTCGAGTGAAATCCAACACTGTAATCAAAGGTTCAGACAGGTGAGTGCACGCCATGTGACAGCTAAGCGGTTGGTGAATTTGATTTGTGTCTGTTTTGACGCTTGGAACAGCAATACGCCAAGCCATTAATAAAGCCCTGTCCTATGTGAAGCAAATCCACAGTATTTAACGCATTCCTACATGTCCTGTTTTGTTTATGCATCTAGGAGAAAGCTCAAAGCTGACCTGTCGGTGGCATTTCCGTCCCTGTCGGCTGATGAGCTGTCTGAGCTGGTACCTAACAAGGAGGAGATAAATGTTGTGAAGATTTATGCACACAAAGGAGAGGCTGTTACCATTTATGTCCTCCAGAAAACCCCACTTTTCTTCGAACTGGAGAAGCATCTTTACCCTACGGGTAGTGAACCTGGGCTGACACTGTTCTGAGATGATTATAGGACAAACTCTGAATGTTGTGTACTGTCACATCTTTCAGTGTATGTGCTGTGGCGCTGCCCTGCTCTCCTACCAGTGTTCAGGACGTGGCCTCCTGTTCTTCAGAAGTTGATCGGCGGGGCAGGTATGTTTCTTTTTACAAGATGGGAGATTGTGTGCAATTTGTTGATTGTGTGGAGTGCTGAAAATATTGTGCTTTTCCAAAGATCTAATGCTACCAGGCGTGGTGGGGCCTTCATCTGCTCTGCCTGATGTGAACCGGGGGGATGTCTGCGCTGTTACAGTAGTAAAAAATAGGTATTTGTATATAAAAGCACAAATGTAAAAAAGAAAATTCCATTATTTTTCAAAAACAGAGGGTTGACGGAGCTCTCCTGTTTGATTGCAGATCTCCTGTTGCAGTTGGCAAAGCTGCAGTGTCCACTTCAGAGATGCTCAATTTGGGTATGAAAGGGAGAGGAGTGTGTGTTCTCCACACTTACATGGATTATCTCTGGTTGGTGTCTTTCAGCTTTTTACTTTTTATGATGTAATATTTATTTAATAACTCCCTGTGTGCAGCTTTGTATTCATAACAACCAAATGAGAAGATGAATGCCATTTTCAAGTGGTCTGGCTTCAGGTTGCTGCAAGTGTCTGAGAAGGACTAGAGATTACTCCATATCACATGAGTTTCCAAAAGAAATAAAGTGACAGATTACGCATGAATAAGAATGCTTTTTTTTAACTATGCATATACATAATTTTAAAGAGTCTTTATAAAGGTTTGTTAAGACGCATTTGTAACACATCTCCCTAAAAAAGTACCTCTCCCAACATTCTGTATGTTACTCACTGTTGATAGGGTGCATGTCGTTTTTCTTCCACCTCACTGAGAAATCAGGCAGATTTTTCCCTACTTTCTTTGCAGCAGTAGATCGTTTGAAGTTATTTTCTCTGGTCAGTCTTTCATACAGTTCTGCTTTTAAAAGACCACACCTTAAAGTGGCCTGATGACAGACTCCTTTCCTTGTGGTGGAAGTTGCCTTTTTTTTCTGTGATTATTGGGATCAATAGCTTCTTTGTATAAGAATGAGTCTTGGTGGTTTCCCTCTTCTTAGCAGATTTGTACGGACTTCTAATTCATTTTAATTCTGTAATTCTGCATTTAATAGTGTTTCTATTGAAAAAGGCATCAATTATTGTTCTGCAGAGTTTGTTTCTGATATGGCCTGTTTTTAGAGCTCATTTAGCTTATTTTGTCAGTGTTTCTTGAGGTTGTTTCAAACAAGCTGTCCACATACTGACATCTTGTGACATTTAGATAGTAATAGACTTGAATTAAGTAATACTATAACTGACTACATAATGGGCAGTAGAATGTCTAAAGGGGGAAACGGCAAAGGATGTCAACACCATTTTTCCAGTTTCAAAATCATTGTAAAAGCACTTTAGATAATCAGGAATCTGTTGGTTTTTTTTTTTGTTAACATCAGAACATTTTATGCCCTCACGGCTACTGGAAAGCTGGAGTTTATTCATTTAAATTGTTTTTGTGTCTTTTTTTTCAGGGCTTTTGGTGATAAGTCAGGCCCCCCTTCTTTGCCAGATGCTGAGAGTCAAGAACAAGGAGTGAACGTAGATGAATGTGAAGTCAGTGACGAGGAAGAGGAGGAAGAGGTTGAGAAGCATGTGGATGAGCAACCAAGCTCAGTTCTAGATCCGGTCTGCTGTGGTATGGAGGAGCTGAAGCTAGCAGAGCTGGAGGAAAACAAACCTGAAAGTAACGATGAGAAAGAGGAGGAAAACCAGGATGAACAGAAAACACCTCAAGGTAGAGATTTAGTCACATCTGTCTTCATGTTAATCCACTGGCCCTGCAGACCACCAGGAAGTTGGTCTGCAGGGCCACAGATTCAAATCCAAGCTAATTGGTACTAAACCGCGAAAAGCCCAGGTCAGAGGGCTTGCTGGATTAGTTTTAGCTTCAGCTATATAATAAGAGTTCTGATGTCGCAACTGAACAGCAAAGGGTGTGACCGGGGTCATGCCCGATTTTACAGAGGTGATGGATGCCCTGCTGCTGCAGTGCTTTCTGCACGCTCTGAAGACCAAGGTGAAAAAGTCAGAGCTCCCTCTGCTGACTAGTGCGTTTCTCCGCAACCACATGTTCCCCTGCTGGTAACGTATGATTGCTTGTTTTGGAGCTGCTACTGCAGGGGACTTTGAGTAAGCACTGAGCTCTTCTGTTCATCTCTTACAGCCCAAGTGGAAAGCAACTCGATATTAAAAAATCTAGCTATAAAAAGGTATATAACTTATCCCTTCATGATACATTTAAAATATAGAATGAAAAATGCTCTCTATTAGTCTGCTTTTATTATCTGACAGCTGTCCAAGTTTCTACAAGTCATGCAGCAACAGTATAATCTTGTTCGAGTGAAAGAACTCACCAAAGGTGTGGAGAGCATTGTGGAGGTGGACTGGAAGCATCCAGAGTGAGTCGAGCCATGATGTAACAAGAAGCATATGTAGTTTGTATTTAAACACACCATATTCCCACACTGAACCGATTTGTTCTTCTTTTTTCCCCTTTTTTATGACTTAAACATTTTATAGACTGCGTTCCTTCAGAATTCCAGAGGAAGCAGCTGTTCAAGCAACTGTGGTGCAGGAGGGTGGGGAGGAAGACGTTGCGTACCATCCCCCAGAGATTACAACTCTGTACTCTGTGACTGCTCGGCTGGAACCTCTTTTTTTGGATGCAGACAAGAGGTGTGTTTGCTTTCTTACCCCGTTTCTTCTTTTACTCTCTTCTTTTCCTGGACAGGAGGTCATCTCACGGGTACTCGTATTTACTTAGCAGGAATATTCTGACACCTCGGGGAGGCGTTTGCTTCAAATGACCTTAACCTTTTAATGCTTGGAAAGGGATCATATTTCCATGATGAAATTAAAACAAATATTAATCCTCAACACTGTCTGGAATGACTCTTCGTGTCAGCAATCAATGACTGATTAGCCAAACAAAAGCAAACTATGTTTTTCTTCATATGTAACTGACAGTACTTTCCTTCCATAGTAAACACAATAATGGGATTTCTGTCACTAAAGTAACAAATTCGCACAAAAGGGGAAAAGCTATATTTGGGGAATTCTTAAGTGAAAACAGCATATGTCATGGTTAAACTATATGCTCTGACCCCTTTCGTTTGTTTTTTACTGAAGCACGTGGCACCCTCATACATAGACCACAGCACATATTTTAAAACAAAAAAAGAAAGAAAAATTACGTGACATCTGTCATGCACATAATGTTGCAGTGAAAAAGCAAACTGTTAAAATTAGCTTTTTTTTAAATTAAACTAGCAGTTATACATGACTCATACAAATGTTTCAAGAAAGCCCAGCAGGAATTCTGCACTGGTCAGAAAATGTAAATATTGAGCTGTAGGTGTTGGTGCCAGTGCGTTATGTCCTGTACATCTGCTGGACCACTTTTGTGTACTAGGTAAATTGGATGAGAATTTTTAGTCATGATAAATTGATGGAATGGATATTTTTCCGACTGCCAGTCAGAAATATTATATAAACCTACAAACTTTTCTCCCTTTTGCCTTTTGTTGGAGGTACTGATGTGTGCTCTGCTGCTTTTCCAGGAAAGGGGCAACAATGCACCCTGCAGAGGTCAGGAGCATAGTCACAGAATATGTGAAGAAGAATGAGCTGATAGATGGACATAATAAAAAGTGAGTGATTGATTAAGCTCTGTAAGGGTTTCATTAAGTTCTGATGTGCGTCATTTAAAAATCACATATAACAGCCCATAATGTCCAGGTCACAACTGAGATTAGCCAAGGTCATGCTCGGTGTCTTTTTCATGTTTATTAGGATTTTTTTTTTTTTTTCAGTAATTGCTTCTTTTTTTTTAAGATGATGATCCTCTGAAATCGGTTGAAGATAATAAGTCTTCGTCTCTGTCTGCATTTCTCAGAATCATTTTCAGTGGTAAAAATACTGCCTTAATTGCCACTAAGCAAATATAGCCCTGACCCTGGACCATGTAATGTGATTACAGCAGCTAGATGCTTTAGTGGGACTCTGTGACAGTGTGGAGACATGCAATGCTTGTTTTTATATCGTGAAAGTGAGATTTCCTCTGATGGGACACTTTTGTTGAGAGAAATTTGGTAAAGATTGTTTAATGATGCAGCATGGCTCCTGTTTAGTTACATTAATACAATTTAAGTGTTTTTCACTCTTTTCTCAGTTATGTGATTATAAACCCTATTCTGTGTGATTGCTTACTGGAAAAATCTGAATACCAGGATGTGGAGTCTCTAAAATGGGATGACCTTTTTAGCAGGTAAAGTTAAGGCTCATTTTTCTACATATAAATGTACTTCTCTAATTTGACACTTTTAATTGTATTTAATTGCGTCTATGGACTGTAGACATAAATCTGATCAACAAAGCTGATTTATGACCAACACATTCTGTGATTAGATACAATGTAAAAACACCCAACGGTAATCATTAGAATTTACCAGTCCAACACTATCCCCATCTCTCTATCAATGAGTTAACAGTAAAACCTTCTTCCCTCAGGACATTGGGAAGAATGCAGGAGTGCTATCAAGTCGTCTTCCCTGGACAACGGCCTATTTTAAAGAAGGGCCACATAGAGCCAATAGACATATCTGTGTCTTCTCGAGGCTCAAATAAGAAGGTAACACATTTTGCAAGATTCCCTGAAAATTCCACATTAGAATGTCTATTTGGGCACTCATTTATGTTGCTTTTAAACAGATTTTCCACGGTTTTGAAAAAGTGGTTGCTGGCATAGTGTAATTTAACTCCAACATGCAAAACTAAATGGAAAAAAACTGTACACCTGCATTATCGGAAAAACGTAAAGGGCATATGAATCTTGTAAACGGCCACATGATACCAGATGTGCTGCTCTCAGTATGAACGGAGGGCAAAGGCTTCTTTTGGTAGCACCATTTCTGATGGCCATTCAGTGGTCCACATATATAGAGCACATGTGCTCCTCAGGGGGCTCTTTAAACTTAGGATTTGGACTGTCATGAAAGCCGTTTCATTGAAGTGGTGTTCATTGGCCTCTTCTTGGCTTGAACAAAATGTCCATCCAATTTTTTCTTCAGATGCTGCATGAGCAGACAAAGAAGCATTTTCTGTGTCTCTGTTCATGAGCGAGGCCCAAAAGCCACCCAACTTTTACTATAGCCAAGTCCTTTCTCGTGTTCAGTCCATGGTGCGATCTCTTTCCCTTTCCCTCCTGTCAGCGACACTCCTCCAAAGTCATTTTAGCTATTATCAGGTCTGGCAGCATCACTTTTTTTTTCCCAAACCCACAACTGTATCTTATAATGCCAAAATTTTAAACCAAAAGTTCAGAAACCACAACGAATTCAATTACTCAACAGGAGTAATTCATTCAGGCATTCCTGCCTGAATGAATTGTGCAGAGGCAGGAGGCTCCGCTGCTTCGGGACTTAAAGAGTGTAACAAGCAACCTAATCCCCACCAAAAACGGCAAAGTCTTCCAAATCATGGATATTTGAGATATGCAAGGAGTGTGTAACGTTTATTTTCCAGGTCAAAAACTAACCAGTATGGTTTTCAGGTTATTTTCTCTGCTTATGATACCTTATTGCTCTTGTAGTTGAAGGACATTACGCTTTATGTTTACATTTTTCTCATTAGCCTAACTCTAAAGCTCTGATGGATCTCTAAAGGCTTTTTGCTGACCGAATGACCGACAGAAAATGAATAGTTGGAGACATATTCATATATTAGAACAACAGTCCCTAAAAGAGAACACTTTTTCTGTGAATCTTCATCTTCAAAGAGGGTCTTTGAGAAAGCATCAAGGTTGTTATTTGCTTTGCGTTGAGTCAACCTCCATTATTTTATCATGCAGCTACATTTGTGGATTTAGTAGAAAGCAAACAAACTAAATCAAATGTGCTCACACAAGCAGACTTTTATTTATTTAATCATTTTGCCGCAAGACCTTTGAGATATACTGCCACGTTTCTTTTATGGCCATGTGCAACCAGTTCTTTTCATCTCTCTGTTCCACTAGCTGACTCGGCATTTAGGGCTAATTCAACAGTTTGGAGATTTTGGGAGCACTTTGTAAACCCGAAAAAGATTTTGTAGTGATCGATGAGTGAGAAAGCCCAGAAATGTTCAACGGTTACATTTTTTGTCTGCCAAAAGCACAGACATGGCCAGAATTATATTAGATTACACTGATGAATAATGTGAAGGCACTTATTTGAAGTGAGCACTTATGTCATATAAATACAGCCAACCCACTGGCTGTGAACAGAGCAGTCATTGTTTTCTGCACAGGCCATTTATATATCAGAGATTAAGAGTGTAGCCACTTCATAGATGTCCATATTAAAGTTTCAACTCACAGTGAACTCTCTACTTCCAGGTTATCTTTTAAGATCACAGATGCCTGAACAATTTTCCAGAAAATCCCTGGCGGAGATGAGATAGAAAATTCACCTCAGAAGCTAATCTCTATAAATGATTTTGCGGTCATTCAGTTTTCAGATTGCTTCCAACCCTGTAGCATTCCCTCACTTTTAAGTGAGGTCTTGGTCAAAGGGTCACTTTTGCTGATACTCTGACCAGTTATTTCCATTTATTTCCTGTAGGTAACTCTGTTGAAGAACTTGGAAGTGTACGGTCTGGACCCAGCAGTAGTCTCCACTGCTTTGCAGCACAAAGTTCAGGCCAGCACTGTCTTACAGCCCATTCCTGGAGCCAAGGACAAAGTTTTGGTCCAGATTCAAGGCAACCAGATCCATCAAGTTGGCAATTTTCTGCTCGGTAAAGAACTTCATTATGCTGTTCATCTGCTCTTTCTTTATTGATACTGATTAAGTTGCTTTGTGTGATTTATTAATTTATAATTCTCTTTCATGTTTTTTTTTTTTCAGAACATTGTCATATTCCTCGCAAGTTCATTGAAGGACTAGATAAAGCTCCAAAAGGTGGAAAGAAAAAGTAGCATTTCAGTCTGCTGTTAGCTTAATTTCTGAGTAAACCTGTCATAAATTATCACTGAAACTTTGTGTTCAATCACCTGGCCCAAAGGGAGTTATTTCTGCTGCAATCAGAGGAAATAAAATTGGGTCAAGTGCTTTCAGTTGCTTGAGTTTGTCAGCTAAACTTAGTTTAGCAGATCCAAGACCAGTTAACATGAAACGCACAAATGGTAAAAACTGAGCTTGTTTTCCGCACAATAGCGTTAAAATTCTACCTGTTGAAAATTAACATGAGCTCCTAAACACAGTTCTCTATCCCCTTGTCTTTTGCACAAAATGATCTACTGATCGTAGTGACAACTGAGACTTTGGCCCCCTAGCCATTATTAGAATGAATTTGCAGTGTGTAAGTATGTGAACATAAAGTCTGTATGCGCATACAGACTTTTTCAGCATTATTATCTTGGGCTTTTGATCCACCAAACGAAAACCTGAGCTACTTTTGATTAACAAATAAATAAAATGTTATACAGTCAAGCTTCACAGTTCATTAAAACAGCTGGCTGGGTTTTTTTTTTAACAAATTCTAACCAACAATTGTTTCATAAAAATAAAGTGATAAAGTCGAAATCTCTAAATTAGCTGTACTTTGACCCTAAAGTTGTTTTACTGAGTTGGGAAAAAGACCACGTTTACTTAAATAAACCTTGTCGCTGACTTTTTCTGAGAATTAATAAGAGTTGACTTTTTTGTTGTTCTGTTTTGGCTCCCAGTTGTATTTTAGAAAAAAAAAGTTTTGGGTGGATTCAGCTAAGACCAGGCCTTTTTTTTTTTTTTTTTACAGAAACAGCAAAAGTAGGATGTTTTGTTGGCAGAGAATGGAACTTGTCATTTTTGGTCATAAAATCGTTTCAATGCTCGGCAGTATCCTCTGCTGTATCTCATCTGTGTGAGTGCAGCTGGGGCCAGGATTTAATCATGTACACTGGTGGAGGGTTTTGAATATCCACAGAATCCTGAGAACTGGTTTGTGAGGGGCTTCAGCCTATAGACGAAGTCATGCCTGATGGAAAAGTGGTCAGGATGCCATTTTATTGTGGTCTTATAACTAGCTGGGAGGAAATTCAAATTTGGATGCATTGTACTGGGAAGCAGGAGATTGTGTGGCCGGAGTGTGCTGATTCCTGGCATGAAGGAGGCCTTACTGTTATACTTCAGAGTTGCTTGGGAAAAGGTAAGTGGCTGTGGAAATAGTGCCTTCCATTGCTCTGCTAGGAGACTTCCACAAGTTTCCACAAGGTAAAAGATAGGCCTTGATTGGCCTGATTACGTGGCCACATAAGACCAGTGTTGGGTGAAGTGAGGGGCAGAGCCCTGTTCAATTTAAAGTAATTTTCCTATATTTCAGTTCCACCATGTAAAAAAACACTTTTTGTCTTGCACTGCCCCCTTCATTTTGTGGTAAGAAAACTGGAAAACTGTCTGAATGCTGCTGAGTACTCAAGCATGTTGCTTCATTGCTACATAAGTGCAGCAATAAGAAGCCAAAGCATACTACAATATCTGGACTCTGAAAATCCAATTTTTTTTACATTGGAAGAGAAGCTGTGCCATTAAAACTGAAGGAAGTTTTGGAGCAGAATAGCCTAAATAAAACAATCCGAGACATCGGTTGAAGCTTTATTTGCCAATATAAATTGTTAGCAACATAAAAATAGATGAGCCACAGCACTAGCATTGAGCCCTGTAATCGTAAAGACGCTGGTAGTCAAACAAAGACGTCCAGGCCTGATTAAATAAGGATCCTCAAATCAGAAATAGTCTCCAGGGGGCAGGTCTGTCTTTGTCGGAAACTGCTATCTGTGGACTTTAAACCATTAGTCCTCAGAAATACTCAAATAATGCTGAAGAGGTACAAAGAAAATCTGGTTTGCAAACCAGATTAGTCTGCATTAGAATGGTGGGACGTAGAAAGCCATTTTTCCTTGTGGATGTGGCGGCCACAGTTGACAGCCCACTTGTCTTCACTGATGAAACAACTACTGACAGTAGTTGCACAACTGAGGTGTAAAAATATCTGATCTGATCAAATTACATTAAATGCTTCCAAACCCCCTGGGCAGTGTTTCAATATGCAAGCAACACATTTAGTCTTTTAAACATCATATTTTCTTAGTATTTCAGCAGTTTTTATATGTTAACAAGCAAGTTAAAACAGGCAGAGTACCTTTTTTTGAACTGAGTACAATAATCAGCATTTTTTTAGTCTGTTTTGTTAATCTTGTGTTCATATTTTGTTTGTCTACAGCAACCAAATATTTCATCAACAGAAAGAAACACTGATGTCTGAGGTTCGCTTCAACATAAATGAAACGATGTAGTTTACACGCCTTGCCATTGTGCTTATCACACTCATCAGTCTCTGTACACCTGTAGTTTACCTGAAAAACTCTTTCCCAAGAGCAATAACGGTTGCCGAGTCAGGCCTTGACTGTTTGCTCAGAATGTCAGTGCCAACTGCAGGAAATTAATTTAGAATTTTAGAGTCTTACATCAAACATTGGAAATGTGTGCCAGGATGGACAGCGCAGAGGGACACCCATCACCTTTCCTAAGCACATGGACAGGACGAATGAAACAGAGTAATAAAGGAAATTAAATAATGTTTTATGGAGTGTTATTCCAGTTAAAGATACCGTTGGCTGGAGAGACATGGTCATTATCTAGTTATGACTTCCACCATAATATTTCCTTTCCATGAAACCTGTTCAAACTGTGACTACACAATGAATCATGTTGATGGTTGTATTTGGTGAAGAAATAAAGGGCCTCTTTCCCGTCTATGGTTTTCTTTTACAGTGAAACAACACCTGTCTAACACATGCCAAAAACTCCTGACGAAACTTTGACTGGGTACACACGTACAGATACATGTTTATAGCAGCGTTGCTGAGGCACAGCATAGTGCCGGTGTCAGCCGCTACATTTATGATGAGGCTGTAATCGTTACGATCAGAGGCATACATTTCAGTTGTGCGGAGAATAATCTGAGTCACAGCACGGGTGATGGACAGGAGGACAAAACTCATAGATATTGTCACAAGTAGAACCACAGATTTTCTCATCCTTGAACGAAGAAGGGGTCTAACTTTTTTCATCCCGGATCTCGCGACTGCTGTGACATGGACCCGGTTGCTGAGAGAAATAAGTCGTAGGGTCAACCCATTAAGTGTTAAGATGATGGAAAAAGGGACAATGTAGGCCTGTATCGTTTGAAACCAAACCAGGGTGTGTATGAACCGAGTTGGGGCCTCTTGTTTATATATACACAACGTCCGATTGTTTTTAATGACCGAGGTGTTTGTCCAGTAGTAAGGAATGGAATAAAGGTGAGTGATGACAAAGGTTGATATTATGGTCCACACAGCACATCTGGGACTGCAGATTTTTGTTTTAATTTTCCATGTGTGGATGCTGATAAAGCGCTCCACTGTGAACAGAACCACCAGCCAGGTTGATGCATTGTAGGCTCCATAGTTGAAAACATCTCTGAGGTTGCACCAGGGCTCGTAACTCCAGTATGGTTCCTTCTGGTGATATTTTAGCGATAGCTCAAGAACCACAATGTATATCAGAACAAGGTTGTCAGCCACAGATATTGCCATCAGGTAGAACGCACTGGACCTGGAGAGCATGCAGTTCTTTCTCCAGATAATCAGAAAAGTGACAGCGTTGGCTGAGAAAAATAACAGAAAGTCATTAGAGCATCTTATGTCTCAGATTAGTCAAATAATTAAAATGACAACTCATTTACTCACTTGGTGGCAAATAATATGAACTATTATTTAATTCCAACTAATAGCTTTGACTCTGGCGTGTACTTACATGGAATGCCCACTGTTGCTAGGGCAGGGTAGAAAACCTCTTGCACTGTTACCATCCAATGCTTGTTCTTCATATCCTCTCACACCACAGAGGGTGCAGTGAAGTGCAGCATCATGGAAGCCTGGAGGCTGAATGTACTCATGCTCTTCAGGAACCATGTAGTCACTCCCACCTCATCTCATATACAGTTCACAGCATGTGTCAACATCTTTGTGGTATTCTAATATGGCACAGATTCTGACACCCATTCATACATATCCAGTGTATTTTGATAGTTTTTTAAATCTCAGATGAGAGACAATAAGAAGAAATTAGTAGAAATGTGAAAAGCCTCTTAAACCACTTTGTTGCCACAGTACATAAGTGGATGTTGAATTGATTTATAGCCAAATAATAGTTTTCAAAAAATGTTATGAGGATGCTTAGAATTATTCAGCTTCACTGCTGACCCCTGATCTCTTGCGAATTTGACAACTTTGCTGCTTTCCTAAAATACATTTGAGTCGGTTTGTACTGTTTTTAAAGCAAATTAGCAGACGATACCAGACAGGCATGCTGAACTGGTGTTTACATAGAAACCAGTGAGCTTGTATTCATCTTGTAATACAACTTTATATATATTTGCATACTGCATATCCAAATTCAAACTGCAGTAGATTTCATCATTTGCCACAGCTATTTCCTGTCATCATATCACGATCTGATATGCATAACTTTTGTTTTGTTTGCAATCTAGTTGCCCAGAGAAATCCACAGAAGCAAGATGTATTTTTCTTTTTGCTTTATTTTATTAATTGAGAAGCGTGTCTCAGGATGGTCACAAGCTATTTACTTTGACTGTCATGTTGAATGATTCAAATGAAACTAAAATACCATTTGCCTTTCTGAGACTTCTGCCTTTGATTAGCTGTCCTCCAGATGAGAAAGAAATTGTGAAAGCCAAAATAATTCACATCTGTTGACATTCAACCTTTTTTAAAGGATGAAATAGCCTCTTTCCCTGATCACATTTAGAGGAATAGATGGGCCATTTTAAGTGGATCTTGGACAGAGAGTTGAAAAAGAAAAGCAGTGCAGGCTGTTGTGTTTCTAAAATTCAAATCAGACATGTTAGTTCCGAAACTGGAAAGTTCTTCGA